AGAAGAGCGGGTTTTTCGTCATTTAATTTGTTGAATTTGTGGACTTCAGTCACTCCTTCACTGCCCATTTCGCGCACAATCCCATCTTCCGGTACATGCTTTAAGCATGGGGCATAAACTACGCCTTTAACCCAATTCAGTTTAACAACAAATTGGCTAATCATTTAGACTTTATGAGCTTTTCGGTTGCGCTCGGTTTCCCAGCCAGGACAAGTAAATGTCCGTCGCGTAAAATTGATATAGAGTCTATATGCGTTGTAATGCTATCTAGTGCTTGTTTAATAGCGAAAGGGCTGAATTGCGAAATTGTTATGGAGGGATCAGTTGGAGAAATCACAACATATTTTTTGTCGATAGGAACGATGCTACTGGTTGGCATAGGGGATACGTCTGCTAATAGATGAAATCTATTTGAGTATAAACTCAATGGCACCGGGGCCATTATGCCTTATGGTTGTCTCTTATCTAATAAATTGGGAAATAACCACTCACTTGAAAAGGTTCGGGAAACTACTGAGGATAATGTCAAATTTTTTCAATATTTTTTTTTTTTTTTTTTTTGGATATAATTGAAACATGTACGGTATCCGCGATGATCAGTTTTAGCAATAAACACACAAAAAGTTCAATATATTTTAATAAATTTGAACACTTAAAAATGTATAAAGCAATAAAGAAGAAATTGCAAAATTTTTTTGCACAAAGAGAAAAATATGACCAGAGCGCTTGAAGATGGAGATAATGTTTATTAATTATAAGAAGGAAATAATGGTTTATAATTGTAATGTTAAGCTTAGGGTATTTTGTAGACAGAATTGCAATAGAGCAATCGTCGAATTAGAAATATGATAAACGTGAGACCAGGAAAACGAAAAGAATTATAAAAGCAATAAATATTAAATTTTCGTTAACTTATATTAAACAACGTAAACGGCAATAGAAGTAGGCACCCCCACATAAAAATATCATCAGCTGACTCTATACACATAACACGTAGTAATAGTTGTGATCAAACTCCCCCTATGGGGTACAGTACAGTCAACGGTTAAAAGGATAATTTTGACAGCAAAATGAAACATAGTTGATTTTGCTTCGTCAAAACTAAATAACGAAAGATTTTCTGAATTCGATTCAATTTCGATTTAAATGTTTATGGAAAAACGATAAATGATTTCATTAATACAGAAAATTCCAAGTAAGTAAATTGATAAGAGTTTTTATATGAATTACAGCTGTATTTAATTTATACTTTATTGATTGTAAGTTTGAAGAAACGGTTTCATGTTTTCAGAAAAAACGTCAAGTCAATAAGTTTATGGTGATTAACAGAAGGCCAGGGGATCTGAGGAGGATCGTTGAGGATCTAAATCCAAACCACTTATTGCAAATCTTAAAAACTAGTTCTGAACGGATTCAATAAGGTCCACGAACACATTATAATTTGATGCCCATATAATCACCGCATGCTCAAGAGTAGGTCTAATTAGTGTAACGTAAAGCCTTTTAGTGACGGAACCATAAATTCTTTAGACCAACACCGAATAAATTTAAACTTATTACCCACAGAAAGAATATGTAAATGGAAACTCAACTTCAACAGAATCAATAAACACACTCAAGTCATTAGAGAAGGCAACATTGTCCAGCAAATAACAATTTAAATAGTAATTGACAGATATCGTAGCAAACCTAGACAATGATAATCCCTTACATTCATCTCGACTTAATGTCCTAGTATTATACTTACACCAAACTGATAATTCAAACAGATCGCCTTGGAGGACGAGACTGTAGCTTACCACGCTAAAAAAACGAAAGATCTTGATATCGTCGACAAACATGAATACACTGGAATTCTCTATACACCAAGGTAAGACAATGATGAACAATAATGGAAGAACAGCACCAAGATGAATTTCTTACGGCGCATCTGATGTAACATCGATTTTGCAAGAAATGCAACCGTTAACACTTTGGGTGCGCACAGAAGTATACGATCTGATCAATTCAATAAAGTTACCTAGGAATCTAATGCACTTTAGCTTATATAGGAGAAGAGAGTGCGACACTCTATCAACAGGCCTTGAAAAATCAGTGTGTATTATATCTGTTTGCTTTCTTGCCAAAATCGCACAAACCGCTCCATAAAACAATTCCAAGAAACTAGTCGTCGTAGACTTACCCTTAGTAAAACCATGCAGTGTCGGCGATATGGAAACTCGAATGAACGGTTCAATTCTGTCCGCCAGTAAATCTCAATTTTAGAGAACGCAACGTTTTAAAAAACCATCTGAAAAGATAATGTGCGCGAAGATGTCAAAGGTGTTTAAAGGATATTGATATAATGACGAACGAATTTACAAACCTCCGAATTTACATGTCTCTTTTCGTTAGAGAACTTAATATTATGAGGAATATATGTGAGGGGAAAAGCGAAACCTTCCTTTTAGAATTAACAAGTTTGTTAAAGGTCATAGGATCGATCAATAGCTTATTTTTCATTTTCAGTATATAGGCCGCATTCCATCTTGTCTACAGTGCGTTGAATTTCACTTGAAAGATCACTTGATTTGTATATTCTAAAAGGTCTATTCCTTCTATTTCTGACTGGTTTAAACTCATTATTAAACCAGGCGGAATACTCACTCATGACAGATACACTATCCGAAACCTTATCACTATTATATTGCTGCCAGGCGCTGAGGCCCGTTATATATCTTGTGATAATGGTAGTCATAATCTGTATTATTGGATATACTTGTTTACTTACGTGGCAGTTACCCAGTTTGCCAGGTACTGATATCATAGTTTTTCATATAGAGGTGTTCTATATAAGCTAAGTAATTATTCTTAAGATTTAATAAATATATAGTATCTAATTAAAATATTGTGAATATTTTGACGGATTTCACAAGACTGAACACCGCCAAAATGCACGTCAATTTTTGGCGCATATTTTAACTATCACAGATTGTTAATTTTTCTACGTAAAATGGGCTGTAAAGAACAAATTTGGTTGCCAGGGCTCGCTCTCCGGCAATCCAGAGCTTCTTTCAAGAAAGTCTATATTTCATGACCTTCCACTGTCAATCGAACCTTACCACATTCACCTAAGAAAGCTACTTATTTGAGTAATTACACAGATTAATTTTTTTTCATTAATTCCCACTTTTGTTACTCTTTCGGCACTTGTTCTACAAGGACCTCTTGAACCATACAAATAATGAATCATTATTTCAATACACTCAAAAATGTATTATTATTTCTAGCACTTATCATAAATGAAAACTTTGGGCCACAAAAAAAAAAAATCAATTGTTCCATTCTTTTGCACTTGTGCTACAGGTAGACTTTAGGTTTTAATTATCAATCATTTGGCTACCGATCACGAAAATTATTCGCTCTTTTCTCCTATATAGTTAGGCACACACATAAACAATATTAACACTCTTGTCTCACTAAACACAATCTCTTACGTGACCGACCTAAAAAGCCCAAAGATTATTCATTTCTTTTTCTTCTTATCTCTGTTTTATTGAAATTGGTGTTGTCAATCTGTGAAAAGTCTAATGCGAACTTACTGTTTTAAATTTGCAATTGAACCATATCTGGGAAGAATGTTGGGCCTGTCATCTAATTTACTCTCCACAACTGTCGCTAGCTTTATAATGCCTTACGCTGATGATAGGATATCTTGTGCTACTCTAAAATGCGTAAGATGCTTAATACTATGTGCGGGACCAAAATGAAAAACGAGTTTAGTCCTCACAGTGCTATGCTGTTGTGGTTTTGCTTATGTTGAAGTCATCAATGCATTTTGGTTTATTCACATATAGTATCTATCTATTTTAGAAATGGCTTTTTTGAATTTATATTATTAATTGATTCATTTAGCTGCAGTTTCTAACTGTGCAGTTGAATTGAAAGTACAACTAAATAAATGAATAAATATATTAATAAAAATTTCATATCAACTTCGAATTTGTTTTCATATTAAAATTAATATTCCCATTAATATTCATAAGCCTATTCATATTCGTAATCATACTAACATTCATATTTAAATTCATTGTAGCGATTGTGAATAGGGCGGGATTGCCATGTGGAGGTAGTAGTTAGGGGTGATATCTGGAAAATTATAACACTCGAATACTTTTCGATTACTAGTAAAGCTGTGTATTACATCTTACCTTGGTATAATTCAAACTTATTCGTGTATATGCAATAAATGAAACTATAAGAATATAAATATCCAGCACCTACGATTTTTATTTCCTTCTACTTTTATGATAATGTTTATTCTAATTTATCCGGTTCCTAGGAGAAATCATAAATTTCTCAGCTTCACACTTTAACCGCAAAGTTCTAATTGGACAATTTGCGTATATTATAGGGTTTTTCTTGAAAATTATTTATATTTATGGATCATCCAAGAGTGTTATATACTAAAATGGATATAATAAAATGTCATGCTTGATCTACTTAATTTCGCAGAAACACGATTTAGCTATTTTGAAGTGTCTTATAGTTTTATCAAGTCGTGTAAAGCTATAAAATGTTTATCAGTAGGTTGCGTTAATTTATATATAATTCTCAGTTAATGGTGAGTCAAGTGAAATTGGTTTGATCATTGCTCTGATTACGGTTATATACTGTAATGTGTTCTGAACACTACATTCTTGCTGTTTTAGAGAAAATTGCTTATTTGAAAATTAAGCGATTTTCCTTTGTTAATGCAGGTTATTTGAATGCAGCACACAAGTGGGTTTCATATTTATACAAATATTATTTAGTATTTTGAATTTAGTTTGATGTAATCTTTTGTTTTTTTTTTTGTAAGGTATAATTATGTATTGTACTTTTTTTTATTAAGTTTTCATCTATTTATTTTTACTATTAATACCTGCTTTTGCATTGGGATTACATATATATCTACTATTTTGTGCGGGTTTTTGTAGTTTATTTCTATTATGTGTTTTTATTAACTCTAGGTCTCCTATTTTTTTATATAAATGTAGTTTTGTTTTGATTTTCGTATTCGCCTTTTTTTGGTAATTGTAACTATCTTCTGGCTTTCTGTAGTTAGCATTTGAGTTTTCTTTTTTATTTCTTGGATGTGTATGCCTGAGTGGTATTTATTTTTTCGTGTGCCATATATGGTAGTTTTCGAATAATAATTTAAATGGCATGCAGCTTGTGTCTATAGAATGTGTTATATGCGAAAGTGTAGTAAGGTATCTATTTATCTCATTCTATGTTTTCTATAAAAGCTAGAAAGTTGTAACTCCCGCTTACGTAGGTGTAGGGAATGTTTGTCGGCCTGCTTCTCCTTTTATTCTCCACAAGAAAGAAATACTTTGTATAATAACGGAATTCCATTAATATGCCTTTTTATCACAAGTCGTCGTGCATAACAGTTGGGATTAAAGACACGAATCGCAAAGACCGAAAAGTCAAAGCCCGCCTGCATAACATAAGAGTAGATTTTTGCAGCAGTAGTTATGGAGTGAAATCCAGTAGGAAAAGTCATCCGTTGAAAATCATAAAACAAAACATAAAAACAAAAAAACAAGTTAACGACAAGCAGTCATAAGAGCAATCAGTAACAGAAAAGAGAAAACAGTTTGTGCCCATAAAAGTCTTTTTGTTCAAAAAAAAAAAAATGTGTTAAATAAGCTAATGTTAATTAACTTACATAAATTATATTTAAATAAGGTAAAGTTTTGTCTTAATTAGTAATTAATTTAAATAATTTATAATAACATTTAAAAAAAAGGTAAATGGATGGTTTAAAAACCAAAAGAAAAAATTATTAGATTTTTCTTTTTTTATATCATCTAATCACGAATATACAGTCAAATTGATTATGATTTCAAAGTAAAGTATTGAATCAACTAACTTTTTCAACACATGGAAGACCTTTGCAACAGACATGTTACACTGAAATATATATGAAACAATAATTAAATAAAATAAAATAATTGTAAAAAGCCCATCACCATCATCGTTTTCACCGTCGTCATCACCATTATCGTCTAACGACTTGGTAACTATTATAAACGTGCTAAATGAACGGTATGAATTGAAGACTGCATATATATATAAATACACATATGCATATGTCCGTGTTCGATGTCATATATCTTCTATTTAACCGGTTGATATGACTTCGACGTTGCTACTTAATGCCGCTGGTGACTTCATAAAATTCGTAACTCGAAAGCTTGGAGCTCAGGCAGAAATAGCAATTTTAATAGTAGTTGTCGTTCTTTTTTACTTTAAATTTAATTTATAAAAAGAACAATATATATTAAAAAAAAATCTCTGATAACTGATTTGTAAAAATGCTTTGGCGAAGGCAGAGTTGGGTGTGTATGTGTGTGTGTGTAACGGCATACATTGACTTAGTGGACAAGCAGACATATATACATAGGCTAACGGACAAAAGAATAGAACAGACCAACAATGAGACAATGAGTTAACCAATAGTATGATCATAGCACCCTTGACATAATTCATTTAATTTTTTTATGTACAACAGTCCCAACTCTACACATTACAAAAAAGTGGTGCCCAACGAAAGGTAAATCAAGTCCAGGAATGCTTCTAATCATCCCTAAATAAACAATATATCTTTTTAAAAGTTTGACGATATAAGTTGGCGGCGAATTACAAAAACGTTCAAAGCAAAACTGAAGATATACAAATTCAAAATTTTTTGTTTATTTAAGTACATTTTATCACGTTACAAAAAATGGCGCCCAACGTTAAACCGCAAGGGGAAAAACTTAAATCCTCAACTCAATTTAACTTAATATTTACATTTTGTTTATAGACATAAGATGGTCGCTCGTGACAAAAAGTAGTGCCCAACGAAAACAAACAGAAAATATTTTGAAATTATAAAATTTGTTTATTATTCATTTTTATATTTTTTTGATAAAAATGTAAGTTGGTCACCTCTACACAAAGCCCAACGTTAAATCAAAATTTTTATTCTGATAGGCATTAAATGTATTTGAACTCAACACACTTCTTTCTAGTGTAGTATCAAGGCGGAAAGAAGAAACTAAAGAATATCAATGCTGCTAGGCAATTTTTATTTGTATGTATTCTTACAGCTTAAGCCGTTTGCGTTTAACAAACAACAAAAAAGGCATCTAAATTTTTGTTATAGTATTAGTGCTTCTATTAGTAATCAATACTATCCTTTTCGATTTGTTGGAACACATATAAATAGTACATTTTTTCGGTTTCTTTTCTTTAGTTGCTTTGATGATTTTGCGCTTCATATTTTTCAAAGTTCAGTTTGCATTTATGCATTCACAATTTTTTTGTCTCTTGCTGGATAAAAATTTGTTTTCATTTGCAATATTATTAGTGTAAGAGGGTAAATTCAAAGTTGAGAGTTTTGTCCTCTCATTAAATTTATTTATACCTCCATCTATGTAATCTGATATGACTAAACTATTAGTAGTGAACTTTAGCAAGCAACAGCAAATATGATGCCAGGGGATCCTAACGTTTGGTGTCCAAATAATTTTTAAATATATTCAAAGATTACAGCTATGAGTTGAAACTTAGCTTTTGATTACTATGTCTATGATATTAAAAATAATACTTTTCTCAAAATAATAGTTTCTCTCCGATTTATTATGCTAAATTTGCTATGTTTCCTCCTAAATTAAGTACGCAAGAGCATCTTGCTTTCTTTTAAATTATGTTGTTTTCGGTTAACCAAACTTTGTCACCCTGTTGAGACCGACGTTTTTTAGTGTTGGGCAGGGTAGTTAATGACGAGAGTCTGGTAAATTTGTGAGATCCTGTTAAGGCATCTGTTGGTGGAAATTTCCTGCCAATAGATAAAGTGCTTGGGATACTCACATGAAGAGTGATGGTACAGATTGATCAAGCAAAACAAAGTGGACATTTCAATAATAACATTCGCGTTGAGCAATATATGTTTTTTTTATGACTTCTCTTATGGTACGTTATTAAAGTTATGAATTCAAAACATAATCCGACTGACCATTCGAAAATGAGTATTTTTTGTGGATGTGGACTTGTAGGTAAGGAGGGGACACATTTCAGATGTTGACACGCACAGCCATGCTTCCTTTCACGAAAGCACCACAAAACTCGATATTAAGCTCTATGTGTTTACAGATCACAGTTTGTTCGTTTAAAAACATCTTTTAATAATTTTTTTAAAGTTTGCAATACATGAATTACTTGCAAATTCCGATAAATTTGATATATATATGAGTTCTTTTTAGATATATAATATACATTTAATCGTTGAAACATAGATCTATTGTAGTTGCTGTCTCATACTAGATGTAAGAATATACAAGTTAAATGATCTTTGATCTATTTATCTCTCCATTTAATCGGTTTATCACTGTATATATAAATACTTTTATACATATATATATAGACACATAAACTTTGTATGTGCTATTTTAGTAATTGCCAAGTATGCATACAGTAGACACAAATATTAAATGTTCATTTTTTTATTTTTTTTGCTCTTGGATTTAAATGTTTAACACATTTGAATTTCACAAATATCATTCCAACTCATGAAGGCGATTGTTGCGGCAAGAATTTATGTTTATATATATGTATATAAATATATTTCATAAGTTTAACCGCACTTTGCATGAACAAGCGCTTATGGAGTTCCATACAATACTTAATAAAACACATTATCACAGATTTTGCTTTTTAAATTAATGTTTTGCTATGTTCACTACTGTTTTCCTTTATTTGATATACAACAAATGATGCATTTGGTCATTACTTTGTATAGCCATCTTTTTTGAAATTTGCTCGCTACATTTTGTTATTTTTTAAATTCTAAATTTTTCCTTAGGTTATTTTTATTCAATAAGTTTACTCAACAAGTGTTAAGCACTAGGTTCGGCTGAGATAAGTATAATGTTGGTTTGGTAAGAGTAATTAGTCTAAGTCTCGAAATTAATAGCATAGTTACGGGCCTACTACTCTTAAAGAAAGTTGCAATATGTTACGATCACATCTTCCAAAATGGAAGATGTTTTCGAAGACAGCTCAATCGCTTGCAGCCGGCAGCATCGAAGCTTCGTAAATAAACTGGATTCATTTTTTGCAGTGTCCAAGGAGAATTCACCAGTCAACGGCAACACCACATCTGCTGAAAATGTAGTAAATAACAATAATAATGAAGGACAACAAGTTTCTAATGTGGTAGGTATCGATCCTATGCAATCCCCTAGCGGGGATTTTAAAACAACATGATGTGCTTCTGAGCAGAAATGGGTAATTTTAAAAGGAGAAGGCACAACGTCGAGGTTAGATAAAGTGAAACCGGCCTGGCAGTGGAATTTAGTAGTACTTAGCATGCATTTGCCATGACATAAACACCAAATCATGTCGCGTTAACTTCAAGAGAAGAGCATGATATCGACGAAGTACGCTTCAGATTACAAAAGCAGTAGCTGGAGCGTCAACAAAAATTAACGACACTAATTATAGAAGAAATATCGACCTTAATTGGTGGCATATCCAATTTGATGGTTCAGGCAATTGCCTTATAACTGTCAATGCTCACAAATAGCATTGGCAAGTGTTAGAGGATCATGAAGGCGATTCATCATTTGATCATTTTGCTGTGAAGTCTCAGCTCAGAGTCTGATTATAAATTAATTCGGGAAATTATGGAACGTAAACAACAACCGGCCGAATCATTTGGCAAATATTATACTGAAATCCATGATTTAACATTCAGAATGAAATAAAATGCCAGAGCAAGAACTAATTAAAACTATCAAGTCGAATATTAAATTAAGCTTAGCCATCTTAATTTTTGCCATCAAGGTCGATAATATGGCGGATCTAAGAGCGGAATGTAAAAGAGTGGGAAGATTGTGGCGAGATAGTAACCAAAAGTCGATGCATGAAAATGAAATGAATTGTTATGATTAGAGTAGCAATTCTAATAAAAATGCTGCGGTAGAATAAGTTGAGCAAGCAATAATAGCCAAAATGAATTCAAGCAAAAATAAATATTAGTTTGGGGAAAAAGAAATCCATTATTTTTATATGAACTATCTGTCAAGCAAAAAACGTGTGATCAGCCTGAAACAAATAACAAATTGATTCATTTAGCTTTAAGAATACTTTATTTACCAACACATAGGTCTACCGTCATTCCACGTGACCCCATGTTTTGTTTGCGGTATGTTCGGGGATTAATTTCTCAAATATCTGGCAGAGAGAGATTAAAAACAAGTCCGTGTAGAGATGTACCTTCAACTACGTTTTGTTTGTAAAAAAATGACTATTATTGCCAACTTCAGTCGGCGGGAAATGTCGGACGGGCGGAGAAAACCGGGAACTCTTCCCAGGCGGATTCACACCAGAAAACTTATTAAAAATTTGACGAAGGTCGATATACAATCCTTCATTAACATCTAATACACAGTGAACTAACTCCAACAAAACTTTGAACCAACGCATTCTAGAATAGCAAGAGAACCGTCGCGAGTTATTCAATGAAGAAATTATGGAAAGAAGAATTGTCGGCAGACAATATAAGAAGATATTATTATTGTTGTTATCATTATTATTATTATTTTAGACTGATGATATAAATTCTTAGACTAAAAAAAAAAAAGACATTGAGCACTAGCAACACAGCCTATCGGATCTAATTTATATAAATGTACATTAGATATTGAGCCTGGTAGTTTTAATAAAGTATTATATTGAATTAATATTTTGTTCTGAAGCTGATTTTAGAATGTCCAAAGGGTTGCTTGTCCAAATGCAATACTTCTAGGCAAGGAAAAGTTAAGGCAGCCACAGAGAATGTGCTTTATAGTGAGAATTTGTCCACAACTGCACATTGGAGAGGAAGACTTCTTCAAGATTCATTGGTGAGTTGCAATTGTATGACCAAGGCGAATTCTAGAAAATGTTTGGATCTTGGTTTTCTCAACATTTGTTGGATATAAAGGTGGAGTTAATTGTGGGTTAATGGAAAAGTAGTGTTGATGATGTTATTGTAAATTTCCTTCTGCAATTTTCTCTTTAACTTTTCTTCCAATATATCTTTGAAGATCGAACTTTTCCATAACATCATCCATAATTAGAGGAGCAGAAGCACCATTTTTTGACGCTCGATCAGCCTGCTCATTTTCCAACAAACCGATATGACTAGGTACACATAACATTTTAATTTTTCCCTCGGGTGTTGTAATTATATTCCTTAATTTGTTGACAGTGCTCCATCTCAAAGTCGAAGGATTCCGAATAGCTTGTAATACCGATAAACTGTCGATAACAATGACAGTTTTGAGTTTGTTTTTATGGGCAAGGTTCGCAGCGTGAAGAATAGTTTTGGCTTCGGTTGTGAAAGCTGAAGTACTTTTGTGAAATATGTGATTGAAAAGAACCTGTCCTGAAGCATCTACCACGGCACAAGCAGGAGGCAGACCAGAAGATTTTGAACCGTCTGAGTAGAAAAGATTCCAACCAGTACTCACCAATATTTGGGTTTTTTCAGTTATTAGATTCCTGAAGACGTAATTTGGAGTATCTTCTTCCTTGTGCATAGACAGCGGGATGTCAAAAGAGCAGGCTTTCAAAATCCAGGGAGATTTAACACCAAAAGAGCGGAAAATTTTTAAGAGAATGTTCAATTTCTTTGCGACGTACAAACAATAGTCAATTGCAGATGACTTTGGAATTTTCTTCGCAATAATAATCTTTCTCACGTCATCACCGAGAATAGATTTGTTTGAATTAAGAAGCTTGGGGACTATTTTAGCTTTTAACTCATAAAGTCTGTTTTCTAAATGTGAGAGATCAGTTTCAATTATAATATTGTTTATGGGCGCCGTCCGAAAAGCATAACAACTTGCTCTGACGGCTTGGTGGTAGACCGGTTTAAGGATGTTGATATTAGATTTGCAGCTATTGCCATAAATCAAAGCATCTTGCTTAAAATAAGCAATTTATATTTTGTACTGTACGAAATTCACCCTTGCTAAATTAGAATTTTTTAACCGAAGACAGTGTGCTTTCCAACGATATTTGTTGGAAAACGTGAGCCCGAGAATATGAAGCGTCTGAACGTTTAGTACTGGTAAGTCATTAATATGCATCTATAGATTTCCTGCATCGCAAATCTGCTTTCGACATATGTCCATTTTTTTAGATTTTTGTATGGAAATTTTAGCTCCTGACGAGTTTGCACATGTGGAGATCTCACATCCAATAGATTCGAGAATGTTGATTGCCTTCGTGCTATCTTTTTCTTTTGTAAAAAGGCGTAGAGGCAATGTTCGATTCTAGGTACATGCAAAGGATTTTGCTAATTTCGGTGAAGTCGATCTAGAAAAGCGTGACAGAAAGGAATCAGAAAGATGATTGTTGATTCTAAATTTAAACCGCCGATGCAACATGAATGATTTGATGAAGGATTTCTGTCCAACATTCCATGATTTCAAGAGTCTGAAAATAACATTAAGACCAACTCTGTCAAATGCTATTTCGAAATCAATAGAGAGAATTGTTACGTGATTCCGTTCGGAAATTGCTTTGCTTGTAAAATAATCAATATGTAACAGAGCGTCGATGCACCCTCCACCCCGCTTGAAACCAACTTGTTGCTTTGTTATCAGGTTCTTGGACTCAAGAAACCAAGATAATCTAGATGCCATAATCTTCTCTAATACCTTAGAGAGGCAAGATAAAAGAGAAATTGGGCGATAATCTGATGCGATGGAGACATTTTTTGACTCTGGAATTGGAACAACTGTTGCCAGTTTCCACATGTAGGGTATATGGCCAGTCATAAATACCGTATTATATAGGTCCAGCAATTTCTTTTTACTAGACTTAGACATAGCACTGATCATTTGGTATGAGATGCGGTCTAGACCAGGTATCTTCCCCTTCAAATTGGAGAGACAACTTCCAAGTTCTGAGGTAGATACGCAATTTTCCAGGAACATGGCATATCTGTCGATATTATTTGAAAGAGATATTGGAGTCCTTTTATTTTCGATGAAAGCACTGGAGAAGTTGCTGTCAGAGGAGTATTCGCACCACACTTTTCCCAAGTAATTAGAAATCTCATCTGCGTCAGTTAAAGTTCCATTGGGAGTGCAGATGGCAGAAATTTCGTTCAGGTTTGAAGTCCCATTAATTCTGTTGCTTTTGTTCCAGACAACTTTCATTGATGTATTTCTGTGAATTCGTCTCCAGAAAAGTTCGAAACTAAATGACTTTGATTTCCGTAATTCCTTCCTGAATAGAGCATTGGCCTTTTTGTATAATAACAAGTGATTCTGATCAGGAGATCTCTTAAAGCGGTGCCATAGATCCATTTTATTTTTCCTCAAAAACGAGAATTGTTACGTGATTTCGTTCGGAAATTGCTTTGCTTGTAAAATAATCAATATGTCAAAGAGCGTCGATGCACCCTCTACCTCGCTTAAAACCAAATTGTTGCTTTGTTATCAGGTTTTTGGACTCAAGAAACCAAGGCAATCAAGATGCCATAATCTTTTCCAGAACCTTTGAGAGGCAAGATATAAAAGAGAGATTGGGCGATGCGATGGAGACATTTTTTGACTTTTGAATTAGAACAACTGCTGCCAGTTTCCACAAGTAGGGTATATGCCCAGTCAAACGTGCCGTATTATAGAGGTCCAGTAATTTCTTTTTATTTGAACTAGACAGAGCACTGATCATTTGGCAGGAGATGTGGTCTAGACCACGTGTCCTCCCCTTCGATTTGAAGAGACAACTTTCAAGTTCTAAGGTAGGTATACTATTTTCCAGGAACATAGCACAGCTATCAATAGCATTTGAAAGAGATTTGGACTCCTTCTATTTTCGATACAAGCATTGGAGAAAGCATTGGATTGCTGTCAGTGAAGTATTCGCATCACATTTTTTCATAATAATTAGAAATCCCATCTGCGCCAGTTAAAGTTCCATTCGGAGTGCAGATGGCAGAAATTTTGTGCAAATTTGAAGTCCCATTGAGTCCATCGATTTTGTTCCGGGTAACTTTCATTGATGTATTTCTGTGAATTCTTTTCGAAAAAAATTCGAAATTAAGTGCCCTTGATTTTCCTAATTCCTTCCTGCATAGAGTATTGGCCTTTGTGTGTAATAACACAACGTTTTATACGCGTTTAAAGCTGGGTATTTGTTTTTTACAAACTTTTCAC